GCTTCTTCCCCCTGGCGCCGAGAACCTCGTCGGCTGTGACCGCGAGCTCTTCAAGACCATCAGCAAGCTGGGCAGACTCAACCTCCTCTCACAGCACCGCTCGGTCCAGAACCTCGTCACCAGCCCCATGGCGCGCGACATCCCTTCGCGCTCGCAGTCACCCCTCAGCTCGCCCCTGGGTCACTCTTTCAAGAGCAACATCAACGGCATGCACCACCACCACCACCACCACCAGCAACTCGGCGACATCTACAGCTTGCCGGGTCACCGTTTCGACGGCAACGGGTTCGGCTCTACTCTGGACGACGACGAGTTCGTCTCTTCGACGCTCTGCTCTTCGGCAACGTACGATGACAACCGCAACAACTTTTGGAGAGAGTGGAAAGAGGCCCGCGTCGCCCTCCAAAGCTGGGAGTTCGATTCGGCCCGCCTCCACGCCTCCCTCCCCTCCCCCGTGACCCCAGCCCAGGTTCGGGACTTGGGCTCCCTGTCCGAGGCCTTCCGCTACGCAGCCCTGCTGTACACGGAACGCCTTGCGTCGCCCAACGTCCCCTCGACGCACAGCAACTTCCAGAACCTGGTCTCGCAAGTGGTCTACTACGCCACGAGCCTGGAGGCCGGCAGCCAGGCGGAGAAGTTCCTCCTGTGGCCGCTCTTCGTCGCGGGCAGCGAGTGCGTCAACGAGCTCCAGCAGAACATTGTCCGGAGCAAGTGCCGCGACATCATGGCGCGCTCGGGCTACATGAACAACCTGGCCGCGCTCGACGTGCTGGAGAGGCTCTGGGCGGGCGAGTGGAAGGACAACGAGTCTCGGAGCCCGGCGGCCGTCAAGCTCGAGGCGATGCGTCGGGGCCCGTTCAACTGGACCAGGTGCATCGGGGGTCCCGGTGTCGAGGTGGAGTGGATCATGTTTTAAGGGTGTGGCTTTTTACTGCACTTTTACTGCAGCTCGCTTCGCCTTGCGGAGCTGTGTGATGGATCACCAGGAGTTTGCAGGGGAAGTGGAAAAGGGAACACCAAAAAAAAAAAAAGAGCGAGCAAGGGAACCCGGGAAGCACGACCACGAGTCACGCTCAAAAGCGAGAGAGAGAGAGAGAGAGAGACAGGAGGTGTCGGAGTGAGCGAGTGTGTTTTCTTTTTTCTCCTCGCTCCGGCTGGGTAAGCTGGGCTTGGAAGTCACGACTGATGAGATGTGAGGGTGGTGGTGGTGTGGTCTATCTGATCTGTAAACCTGTACAATAGCAAACTACGACGACTTTGTGGGCATACATACTTATGATGCGGCGTTAATGATGGGAATTGGGAGGCAAAATAGGGTTGTCTCTTGGACGTGTAAGTCTCAAGATTGGCTGATTGCATGAAATGGGGATGACTTGGGAAGTCTGGAGATAGCTTCCAGAATACAAACACCATGATAAGGCGAACACAGTTTCCATCACGCACACACACTTTGATCTTGCCAATATCCTATTCTTCGGGAGACTCTTGCAATTCCGTTTGCCTCTCACTGAAAAGGACTCTTTCCCAGCAAGTTCAAGTTGCCAGAGACAAGAGCACTCATAGAACGAGGCCGATGGCGTTGTGTGATGGCGTGCTCTATCACGATGGTACCTGCGTTGCGGTACCGAAACAACCGCCAGGCGGCGGCGCGACGGATCCTCCTCCCCCCCTCAACTCCCAAGTCAGGGTCCAGCTCCCAGTACCTATGCTTCTGTTTTACGGAGTACTTGACATCTTTTCCAGCGTCTCATTGCGTTGAGCTGTGTTGAAAGTAGGCGCAAGCTGAGTGGTGAGGGGAGGGGTGTGTGGTATGAGAGAGATGGGGGAGTGTACGAGAAGAAAGGGGGTGGGATGCGAATAGAAGAAGGGGGTGCGGAGGAGAGTAAGGTACCCAGGTATTTGCCCTCCCGCTCTGCCCCGGTCCAAGACTTGTACTCCATACGGCTTCAACCAAGCCCAGATCCACCACCTTGTCCTACTTGTAGGGGACCTGTCTCTGTCCAGTCGCAATCGCTCCAAGCGCCGTTTGGAGCGGGAGGCGCATGTGGGCGGCGCGATCCCATCACCCATGTGCCTGAGGACTAGAGCCAGGGGAGTTTGAACCGTGGACGCCACGACGTGAAGGGGATTGAAAACGCGGTATACTTTATCCGTGCCTCGGGTTTTTCTCCATGGTTTACTCACGGGAAAGTGGTTGATGGACTGCTTAATTGTGTTGACCCCGTCTGTGCGAAAATACTCGGATCGAAAGGAGCACGAGATGATGACATTGCAGCAATAGTTCGGATCGGAGGAGGCCGACGGTGATATGGAGAGAGAGAGATATCAAGAGAGGAGGAGACCGAAAAAGAAAGAAAGAAAGAAAGAGAAAGCAAAGTGCAGAGTCAGTCTGAATCGTTCCGGCCCCGTAACTCCCATCCTGTTACTGTATGCACTGCGGATATGGCATTCACGATCCTTGCCAGCTCGGTTACTCCAGACCGAGCCAAGCCAATTCAACGGGCTGGATTGCCGTCCGGTTTGTAGTATTTGATGTGCGGCACTAAAGGCACTTGGAAACTTGGGAGCTTCGATATGCTTGCTTGCCCCCAGCCAGCGAACCGCCGGACCTTGTTGAAGGGGTCCAAGGGAGAGGAGGGAGGAGGTCACCGTTGCAGGAACGAAGGGATGCCCACCACTCCCAAAACTCAAAGAGCTGCAAACTGCTTCCACTCGCATGCTGCGGAGAGCGGGTAGTTGAAGGACGATGACGGAGGAGGAGGAGGAAGAAGGATAGTGATGTAGGTGCAGTAGTTTCTCGCTCTGTACTTCGTAGACAGTGACAGCTACACAGACAGCCCCAAGAGGCAGAGAGGCAGAGGAGGGGGAACGGACGGATCAAGGGCATCGGGGGAAAAGCAGACTGGCTGGAGAATGAACCAGGACCAGGATTGAGAACGGACATGGGGACAAGGATCAGGGATTCTGCCAAAGGCCTGGGGAAGAAGCGTTGACGATTTGAATCCACCCGAGCCAAAAAAGTTCCCAAGGTGTGGGGGTGATAAGGGACGTTCGGGCCAAGAAATTCCGGCCGGGCTCATGACTGGCTGGAATTCACGACAGACTTGGACAAGAGGGAACGCGGGACTGGCCACGGGCGTTTGTGGTACCGCACACTCTCCGTCCTCTCTCTCCGATCTGGCGACGCATGGGTTTCTTCTCTGGCAGGGGGGTTCTTCCGTGGACAGGCACAGGGTATCCGTACAAGGAAAGGAGGCCTGGATTCATGGATTAGAAGAGAGGAGGAACATCCACAAGGCCCGACCAGGGGAGATGGCAAAGAGTGGAGAGAGCCCGAAGAGAGAGAGAGAGAGAGGGAATGCCCGGCCGGTCACTCACTCACTCACTCTATGGTTCACTGGTCCTGCCGTGGAGATTCGACCAGGGGAAGCTGACCGACACACAGAAAAGACTTGAGAGCGAAAGAGATGGACGACAACCCCAGCCGAGCCAGACACTGCGTAGGAAGAGGTGGCAGGGGAACTCGAGGCGGTGGCGACGGGGGAGAACCCCATTTACACTGCTCCCTTCTCGGTACTCACTGCACACAGCACAGGAACCTCAAGGCAAGAGAGTCAGAGAGTTCGGACGCAAGCTGCACCTTGCCTTGCGCGAAGATGGAGACAGAGTCGCAGAGTCAAAAGACACCTTAATCCATATTGACTACTCTGCCTGACCTGGCCTAAAGCATGCACTAACAAGCTTACTTTAAACCATGCCCGCGCCTGTCTGCTTCTGTCTGCTTCTGTCTGCTCGCCTATGTACACTACTCCGTACGGAGGAGCACTCGTCTAATAGAACGTACCGGGGGGTGTGTGACCTGCGAATATGCAGAGACCTTTTGCGAGAACCAAAAAGTAGACGAGAGGAGGGAGCTACTGCGTATCCGTACGGATACCTACTAGGCGGCCGCTGGCAACGACAAAAGGACACTGGGAAAGATAGCACGAGCCATCTGCTGGCGTCTCTAGAAACGACACGAGATAGATAGCGATTTAAATGTCGACTTTGATGTTGACCTTTGGGAATTAGTCGTACGTATACGGATAGTCGTTCATGACGGCGACTTGGCGAGGAAGTGAGATGACGGGACGCGTGGGGGTCTCTCACTCTCACTCTCACTCTCACCTTCACTCATGGTAGTGACAGTTCACCTTTTGCCCTCGACCTGAAGTAACCTGACTTGAGATGACCTCACCCCCAACCCAATCGTCATGAACAGCACTCTCGAGGCTCATCAGGTCTTTGATCATCTCTGAATCATCTGATGTTGTCGATTCATCTCAGATGGTTCTTGGTTCTAAAAGCCTTCGATGACCGACACCAATCTACTGCAGTAAAATCAGTCGGCATGGTATGCGTGATGCTATTCATTCACACACACAATGCCCTCTTGATCAAGTACCGCAATGACGCCATTTACCACCACCGGCGATCCGAACACCTGAAGAAATTCACTACCTGGCGGCGCATTTTCATCGTCGTCCCTCATCCACCATGCACACATTCTCGCGCCCGCATCGTGCCGTAACCCACCTTGGCTACCATTCTTCAACCGCGGTCAGCAAACAAGAAGAAAGCACGCAAAAAGCAATGGATCCACCATCGTGACTTTGTAAACTTTGTAACTTGTTTTCCATCTGCCGCCTGCTGACCCCTAGTCTAGCTGCCCGACTTCTGTACTCCAAGGAAGGGTGTGTAAGACAAGATAGCAAAGACAACACTGCAAAGTCGAGATCGGGGGAGGGGAAGGGCGTTTACACTACTAAATGCCAAGGCAACGCGAACCGAGGACCCTTCTTGCTTGGCGAAGGGGTGTGTGAGAGACTAGAGTGAGAGGAGAAGTGAGGCTCCATATGTCAAAGTTTTGTGATATCCATGTCCCGGCCCATCATTGCCTATCCATAACACTTACTTTATTATAATACTTGCCTCGGTTTGTGCCTTCTTTTGAACAAGACCTTTTCCCGGCAAGGGACAAGGGGCCCGGCCGGGGTGGGAGCTCTAATTCTTTTAGTGGCAATTCTGACCAATTCACAGCATTTCGCGATTCAGTATGAGTTTCTCGCATTTCATCTATTTCCACGAGTAATGAACGAGTCCAATATCCGGTCCAGCTTGACCGAAAACCCAATTTAAGCTAGCATTACACTTTCACTGCCCTCCTAGGGCCTCCGACGTATTCTTTATTTTCCTTTTGCCGCGCCCGAATCCCCGAGAATCACGCGACTTGCCCGAGATACTTTTCTGCCCGTTGTTCTAGAAACGGAGACCAGGATAGGCCTCATCGCGGCTAATTTTTCCCAATATCCAATTTCTGCGCCTCTCCATTCCATTCATCGTACGGAGTAACACCCTTTTCCTTGCTTTTCACCCTCGGCTTTCTTTGCCCTTCTTCCCTTCAACCGCGCCACTTGAACCGGCTCTGCCTCAACATGTCCAGCAAACCCGTAGGCAAGACCCCCTTGTCCACGACAACCAGGCTCCCGAACCGCGCGACCATGTCCTTGCCGTAGAGTCCGCACACCCACTGCTCGTAGCCGCTGAGCCCATACCAGCCCGCCGGCGTGGTCTTAAGCGCGGCCTCGACCTCGCCCCTGAGCTCGATCGCCTTGGTGGCCGGCGTGTGCCGCAGCCTGTCGAGAGCCCGGCTCAGCGCCGGCGACGTGCGCCTCCGGTGCCGCGAGAACTCCTCGTAGCTCATGAACGGCTGGTCCCGTAGGTCTCTGTAGTCGTCCGCGAGAAGCCACGGCGCGTGGTGTCGGGCCCCGGAGATGTCGAGGCTGCTGCCGCTGCCGCCGCCGCCGCCGCCGCCGCCGCCGGCCCCCTCGGTGTCCTCCTCGTAGGCCGCCTTCTTGAACCTGTACTCTGCCTCCTCCTCGGCCAGAAAGTCGTCCATGATGTCGTCCGGGTCTTCGATGACGTCGTCGCGGATCAGGTAGAGGTGTATAAAGGGGTTCTGGAGTCCCAGGCCGCCCAGGGAAACGGGGAAGTATAAGTAACCGTCAGGGATGTCCTCGACGCCGAACCGGTCGCCAATGAGCCGCTTCAGGTGCGCCCCGGCCCCGCCAGCGCCAAACAGCCTCTCCTGAATGCGGTGGAACGTCGCTAGCATGCTGTCCACGTGCTGCCGGGAGTAGCAGTTGGCGAGCTGGGCGCAGTTGGTCTTGAAGAAGCGAGCGCCGTAAATGTTCCACGCCTGGATCCAGTCAAAAATGCTGCTGCACGCCTCCAGCTGCAGCCGCAGCTCGTCAATGTGCACGTCAATCTTGTCCTGGTCCAGGAGGAAACGCCCAGACGTCGGATCGAGCTTGAGGAATCCCCACACGACATCGCCTGATGGCAGCCGACCCCGTGCCGTCGTCGTAGTACCCGTACCCGGCGGCCTGGGCTGTTGTTGCTGTTGTTGGTTCGGTGACGACGATACCGGGGGTGCGGCCGCGGCGACCCTGACGCTTCCCGTCTTGTCCCAGTTGATCTCCAGCCCTGTGAGGCTGACAAACTCGGTCATCGTCTCCCACGCCCGGGTGCAGGTCTCGAGACCGCCCCATAGCCACATGTCGTCGTGCAGCCGGTAGAGGCGGCAACCGTCGGCTCGTTGGTTGACGGCAACGTCCATGCAGAAGAGCATAGTCTCGGCAATGAAATCCGCCAGGGGTGTGCTTAGGGGCGTGCCTCTCCTTCGGATCTGGGCTGGCGCGTCCGATGGGTCGTCGCTGAAGCGTAAAGGGCACTCGAGCACCCGTCTAAAGAAGCCGGTCCACTCCTCGTCGACGCCGAAGAAGTCGAGCACGGCGAAGATGGACGAGTGCGGCACGCTGGGGCCGAACCACTTCAGGTCGGACCGGATGACCGTCACGTCGCTCCCGAGCCGCGTCTGCATGATGATCTCGGACTGCACGAGGTGCAAGAGGTTCTGCACGACGGCGACGTGCGACTTGCGGCTGTCACCCTTCTTCTCCTTCCCATCTGAGCCGTAGCCACCTCGCTCCTCCGCCAAGGTCTGCGGCAGCTGGTCTAGCAGGATCTCCGACTTGAAGTGCTGACGGAGCTTCTTCTCCACCGAAACGGGGCTCTCGATGCGTGGCCCCTTTTTCAGGAAGAATCGTTGACGGCGAACGTCTTCCTTGCTCATAGGCTTCGTTGCGTCTCTTTCGACGCCCGCGCTTTCGAGAAACGTGACGAGGATCGCGCGGATTTTGACGGCCCACAGCTTGCCGATATGGTGGATGAAGATGGCCTGCAGGAGATCGTCGTCGGGGTAGAATCGGTAGCGTCCGTTGAGTTGCCGTCGCACGTCGACCTCGGTCGCGCCGTCCCAGGCCCAATTCTGTCGGGTTTGCATCCGCATGTTCAGCACATCGGCGATCTCGCGCAAAACGACCTTGTTGTTGAGAAAGTCGTTGAGCGTCGTCCTCTTCTGATCTGTGAGAGTATCCGTCCGGAGGAGGCCGCGGATGGTGTTCATCAGGGAATCCTCGTCAAAGTGCGTCTTGTCGTCCCACGTGTCCTGAAACTTCTTGACGTTCGCTTTCAGTTCCAAGAATGCCCGGTGAATGTCCTTGGAGGGTGAGATGAAGAGGCTCTCGAGGTAGCTCTTGATGGCCCGGCCGTCCGTCTCTTTGGCATGGAAAACATAGCGCTCCCACGTCGCTCTCTGTTGGTGCATCTCCTCCCGGCCCACGGGGACGAACCCTGACTCTACTCCCTGGCCAGCAGCCTTCCCGGCGGAGATCCATTCGTTGACGAGTTTGCCGTAGAGTTCGGCATATCGATACTTTGCAGACTGGACGTCGAGTTCGTTGCGTACGCTGTTCTCATAGTCGTGGAGGAAGTCGTCGGAAACGCACGGATCGAATTCGGCTTGCTGGACGAAGCGTTTGAGATTGTCGATGGATAGTAGTGAGCCATCGTCCACGGATGCCATGGCAGGAAGCCTCTCGACCCGGTCAACTAAGAGCTTCGCCCTTTTCCGACTGTCCGTCTCATAGGCCGCATCGTCTAGCAGGGCTCGTTTTCCCGACTCATAGGAAGCCTTCTGCTTATCCAACTGGCTGAGCTTCACACTTGTGATGGTGTGAAGGGTCTGAGACAGGATATCGGAGGACGCCATCTTCAACGTGTGAATTTAATGGTAAAAAGAGTGAGGTCCAAATGGTGAAAGTGAGGAGTGGTGATGCTGAGTGAGTGAGCTAGGGAGGGTGAGAGACATTGGTCAAGTCCGCTTAAATAAGAACATCATTTCGAAGCTGCCTCATTGACTTTTGAGAAACGAAATGCATTGAGGCCAATTTCTCACGCCGAATACTTCTTCGGCGTGAGAGTCCTCAATAAGTCATCATGCCTCGGGTTCGATCCTTTGATGGGCATCTTGGCTATGGTCAGACACCACCGGACATGGTCAAGTGGAGATGGGAGGAAACTGAGGCCATTTTCCGGCGGCCTCAGTGGAAACCAATTTTGAGGAGAAACAATCGCCCTGTACAACATGCGGCAAAACGAATAAGATCCATTTCTACCAGATACTTTTCATTCCATTCTTACCGATACACGCTCTTCAAGGTCAAGTAGACGGCGCCCCATAGCACACTCGCGCTGGAAAGAAAGAATGATGAGAACCACTTCGTACCTGGGCTGTTGGGCCATTTCGATCTGGGCGTGCTCGCTCGCTTATCGGTCTCTTTTGCCTTGTATTGAGGGCGACTTTTCCGGCATGTCAATTTCGTTTTCCGTTTCCAAATCCCGCCCGTCGTGAGATGCTTTCGAGGCCCTTGATTGAAGGGAGCATCATGAGTTTTGCGTATGGAGTTCCTCCAATTTCTGTTTTCCTTCCCTTCCAATGCCGATTCGAATCACAAAATCTGTTTATCCAGTGCCAAGATGAAGACGGAGGAAGTGAGGCCAAGTTAAAGAAAGAACCCAAGGGCGCACCGCACAAGAAATGACAGGGCACACCGACATCGGCAGTGACGTGATTGCAAGGTTGTGTCGCCGGTGGGTAAGATAAGGAAGGCATACGCAATGCTTCGGGAATTACTTACCCAATGAACTCTTCGGTGGAAGGGTCTTGGGCCGTTGGGCAAGACTCAATGAAGATTAGTCGGGGCTGGTTACTATGTGGCGCCCTCTAAACTCCTCATTACACACTTACACCAGCGTCAGCGCCCATCTTATCGCACGCATTTGTGGCTGACATCTCTCTGTTGTGAATCGTGTCTATCTCCGTGCTGACTCTCTACGGATAGACTCAGAGTGCCCGCCTTCGACGTGCTGCACAGTTGCCTTTTGCGGACAGACGGCCGGGCACAGCTGCCAGGGGGGGCCTCGGGGGTGCACGCCGAGATTCGGGGTCCGGGGAACTGTTGTCAGTCTGTCGCTGTGAATCTTCTTCAACAATGACATTCTGTTTCCGGGAACGGGTTGTATTACATAAGACACAAGCCGGAAAGCTTATTCCAGATGTGAAAAAAGCATTGACCCAATAAGACGAACGTCATTTACACCTATCGCGACGACCACGGGGCGTTGACGAATGACTCTCGAGGGCTCAACTCCGCACCGGTCAAGGCAGTGAAGGGAAATCAGGCTGGACGACGAAGCAGAGGATAGAGCACATCACTATCAAACATGACGGCAGACGAAGAACAAACGCGCCGTCCGGCAGCCGCCGAGCAGAGCTCGGAAACGACGCCCCTGCTCAACGGCACCACCAACACCACCAGCAATGGCACCGCAGCCGCTGCCAACGACGACGAGACCACCGTCGTCGCCGACACTGTCTCGGGCACCCGCCTGGCCCTCATCCTGGGCACCTCCTACTTTGGCGTCTTCCTCGGCGCCATCGACAGCACAATCATCGCCACCCTCTCCGGCCCCATCTCGAGCGAGTTCAAATCCCTGAGTCTCATGAGCTGGCTCGCCACGGCCTACCTCATCTCCAATGCCGCCTGCCAGCCCATATCAGGCAGGCTGACCGACATATTTGGCCGCGGTCCCGGTCTCGTCTTCAGCAACCTCTTCTTCGCGGCGGGCAACCTCATCTGCGGCCTCGCCCGTACCGAATCCGCCATGATCTTCGGCCGCGTCGTAGCCGGCGTCGGCGGCGGAGGGCTCATGTCCATCTCCACCTTTCTCGGCTCCGACCTCATCCCCCTGAGGCAGAGGGGCGTCTACCAAGGCATCGGCAACATCGCTTACGGCTCCGGCGCCATGCTCGGCGGCGTCTTCGGCGGCCTCATCAACGACCACACGGCAATGGGCTGGCGCCTCGCCTTCCTCGTCCAGGTGCCGCCCGTCCTCGTCTCCGCCGTCCTCGTCGCCGTCCTCGTCAAGGTGCCGCCCAAGGCTTCGGACAAGTCCTACCTGGCGCGCATCGACTTCTTTGGCGTCTTCCTGACCATCTCCTTCCTCGTCCTCCTCCTCCTTGGCCTTAATGCGGGCGGCAACCTAGTCCCCTGGGTCCACCCTCTCCCGCTCACCACGATCCCCTTATCCGTTGCGGCCTTTATCGGCTTCATCGTCTGGGAGAGCAGGGTCAAGCAGCCCATCATCCCCGTCCGCCTGCTCGCGAACCGGACTATCCTCGCCGCCTGCCTGACCAACCTGCTATGCACCATGGTCATGATGATGGCCATCTTCTACGTGCCTCTATACCTCCAGGTCAACGGGCTCACGGCCACGCAAGCCGGTCTCCGGATCTTGACGTCCCCTCTCGGCGTCTCCATCATGTCCGTCGGCGCCGGCTATATCATGAAGACGACCGGGAAATACGTGATCCCGGGAATCACCGCCCTGGTTCTCTTCAACACCGGCATCATTATCCTCACGCAGTTCAATGAAAACACGCCCGCGTGGGTCAACTACGTCGTCTTCTTCCTGGTAGGCGGAGGCTACGGGGCCATGTTGACCATTACGCTGCTCGGCTGCATTGCTGCCGTCGACCATTCGCAGCAAGCAGTCATCACATCAGCGACGTGTAAGTCAATCTTTATGGGTGACTTGAAACCCCCTCTTGCAGAGACTAACGAGATTTATAGACCTGGCCCGCAGTCTCGGTGGCACCATTGGCATCACCATCGGTTCCGCCGTGTACCAGAACGTGCTGAGAGTCAAACTCTGGGAACGCTTCGGCGACTATCCCAACGCCGCCGAGATCATCGGCCGCATCAGAGACGACCTCGACGAGCTCAAGAACCTCCCGCCCGGATGGAAACCGGGCGTGATTGACTCCTTCCGGGAAGCCTTTGGCAGCGTCTGGTACACAATGCTCGGACTGTCCATCCTCGCCCTCGTATTCATCTCCCTGATGAGGCAGCATGTTCTCCACTCGACCTTGGAAAGAAGATGAGATGAAATGAGATGAGGCAGTCGCGTGACCTCTGTGAGCAATAGCCTCAGGTTCACTCACTCACTCGCACAGTGCCCGCCGCCTCGATACCCTCTATAGTAAATAAATTTGCTTGTTACTATCACCAAGGCCTATGGCGTAGCGGGGAATGTCATCGTATGAATTGCCCCGCACCCATGGGTCCCGGGTTCGAGCCCCGTGTGCCTAGTAAAATTTCTTGGAGCCTCCAAGGAATTTTCGTAGGTCCCTCTCTCAAAGGGTTACTCAGAGAGAGGGGCCGAGCTTTTGCAGTTTCTTCTGGTTCTTCTTCTATTATTTTTGTTTGCTAGGGTGGTCGAGCAGGAGCAGCATCCAGGTAAGCATGATGTATGTATGTGTGTGGGTTCTCACGTCTTTTTACATCCGAGATGTGGTGGTAGCTTGTTGTACTACGTACGGTAAAGATGAGCATCAAAGTTGAATCCTTGCAGAGGATGGCAAAATCGCCATCGTAGTGAGTAAGCTAGTATGTTGCTACCGCTGCTCTAGTCAAACTTGTAGACTAATGCCCGGGGTCAAGCATTAAGACTAGAGCTCAAGTAGACTAGGAGTGGGCATAGCGATACGCCTCGAGTCACGTCAGCCAAATATGATGACATTGAACGATTTGGCGACACCGGTGGTAGGACAAAATAATTCACTGGCAATAGGTGAATCCATGTCAGAACCAAACACGCACACAATCAACGGTTCAGGTCGAAGATGTGAGAAACCACCCCTTGGCAAAGGATGAAATGTGGAAATATGAATAAGATTGTGCCTGCCCCACATCCATGGGCTTAGCTACGTATCAAAGAGGTCTTGTATACAAAAGTTCTATACGTATGCCAACGTGTTGTCACCCCGAATCTTGCCCGTAGCCTTGATGGTGGCCTCGTTGCCTGCAACACAGGGACCTCGAACAATGATCTGTTTTTCAGCGTTAGATGTGTAACCAGTATTTGAAAGGCCATTAAACTCACCTCTCCTTTATAGTCCTGATCGGCATTCTGGTACTGGTCCGTATCTCTCAACAGGATCTCTGTACTCGTCAGGGGAGGACCGAAGTGCGACTGCTTATCATCGTGAACTCTATAATCGTAGTAACCAGTCTGAGCGACAGCTCCGGCGACCTTGGGTGCAGTCAAAGCGTAGATGACCCTGGCGCCTGTGAAGATGCGAAGATCAGAAAGTTCTCGTGACGACAAAGGCGGTGAGCCGGACTCGACTCTGTCTGCAACGTAAAGAAGACGCAGTTTTCCAGGGGTCTTGCCGATAGCTGGTCGAGATGCGCTGTTGAAACGTGCCGCGGCAGATGCCACGGGCATGACACCACTCTCCGTGAGGCTTCGAGACTGAGCCCAGTGAGCAACCTTGGCCAAAGCAGAGGTCAGGCGGTTAGTAGCCTCCTGGTGGGTCTTCAACAAAGTCTCGGGAGTAGACACCAATACTGTGGGAGCAACTCCTTGAGTAGCCAGAGCCAGATCGGTGACTTTTCCAGCCACAGAGTTGAAGGCAACAGATGAGTTGGAGTACAGAGCTGCCAATGTGAGGATCAAAGTATGGATGTTTGTGAGAGAGTCGGCTGGCAGGAACAGATCAGAGGGGCTGAGGCGCTGGGTAGTCGGGATCGCCGCAAGCTGGGCGGCAACTCCGGCAACCAAGTTGGACTGAGTGAAGCGGACCATCTCTTCCATAGTTCCAGGCTTAGACTGCCAGAAAGTTACCACATCCTTGGGTTCAATTTCCTTGTCGACAGGGGGCACCTCTCGTGCGGCATCGACTGGTGCATCTCGAAGGATTTCTTGCCATGTCGCAACGTTGACACTGCCGCCCATGCCTTCGGGAACTTCATTCCAGTCCATGTGGGAACTTCCCTCATCTACAACCCAGATGAGTTGGCGGAGTGCGGGGTACGCCTTGACAACCGAGTCGAAGGGGAACGCGCCAGGGGCTGTTATAACGGTATCGGCGGCGGAGCGGCGGAGCATCATTACGAGTTCCTCGTCTGACACATCAAATGGGATCAGGATAGCTGTAAGGTTCGGGTAGAAACTACAGGCGAACAACGTCACCAATAGCTCAATAGAGTTTGGCAGATAGACGGCGACGCGGATGCCGCCCTGCTCGTGAATGTGTTGTCCGATGAGGTTGATTTGACGAGTAATATCATCTGCGCGGCATTAGAGGAGTTGATCCCGGTGCAATAGAAAGTGTACTCGCCAAGTTGGTGCTCGATAACGTTCTCAGAGCCCAGCACCGTCAACAAACGGCCCTTGCCTACAACAGGCTTGCCTTCTTCAGCGGCGCCAGTCGCCGCTCTTCTCCAGATATCCCGAAGATCTCCATCACGTCCTCTCGCCCACTTCGAAGCACCGGGGTCCTTGACGTTGAGTCCGCTGTTCAGGGGCATGCCATGAGGGGCAGAGTGGGATCGGTAGATGGGGGATTCTCCTGGTTGGCGAACGGGAGAGCCTTGGGCTTGACGGGCAAGCAGCATGGGATGGGTATCGGGGTCCTGGCTAGAGACGATTCGGTAGGTAACGATGGCGACGAGAAAAGTGACGAGGGCAGTGGTGTAAGCGTTCCATTGTCCGAAGAAGCCCGAGACACCCTCGTCCATCTGGTGCATGATGTTGTCAAAGAAGCCCATCTTGGGCGGCGCGATCTTCGGAGTAATGCTAGACGGGTCGAGCTCCGGTGTTCGTCGTCGGTTGAGGAGTATGGGTGCTAGTGGAAGCAAAACAACAAAAGGCTTTACGTGGCCCGCATGGAAAGCTCGGAGGGTTTAACGAAAGGGAAAATCATGAGGTGAGGCAGTGCCGCGGAGCTCGAGCTCGGAGGTTTCTTGGTGCTGAGCCTTGAGGTGGGTTGTGCTGGCAGTCGACGGCGGGGATTCTGACGTCCCCCCCGGCTTCCGCTGTTGCGACTGCCTCTCGAAAGCGAGCTGGACAAGCATATGAGGTACCTTACTCGTACCGCGTCTAGGACTCTCCAACAGCCGGACAGCTAGCACACTGCGTGTCTCCGGCCGGCCTGCCTCTCTGCGTAGTCAGCACGGGAGTTCCCAAGCTGCGGAAAGTTTAATCCAGTGTTTCCGAAGTCCAGGCGGCGCTTCTGGGTATCGTCAGGTATTCTTGCTCAGGCGCCATCTCGTGAGGACTCGAGTGTTCCGGCCGGCATCTGTAACACTTGGACGAGGTACTTCGAGATACTTAGGGTACCTCGCGACCCTCCCGCGTAGGTAATGCACCCTGCCCGAGCTGTAGGCGTTACGTACCTTGTCCTAAGAAACGGCAAGAGCAAGCCACATCCCCCACCAGGCAGGAGCACAAGGTATCCACCTCGCAACAGACCGCTCCCTGCCGGTTGCTGTGGCCCGTGTGGCTGGAGTGTTGTTTTTCTGCCACTGCCTTTGCCAGCCATTGTTTCCTGCCGCATCCATCACCATCGACAACCCGACTTGAAGCGGCGCATTGAAGCACGCGAGCGCTCAGCGATAGCGCAGCGTCTAAGAGACACTTTACTAACAAAAAATAGGTTTGCGAAATCATTGGGAAGAGTAAGTCAGTCGCATTGCCCATAACGGACGGATGTGTAGACCTGCAGATGACTGGAACTAACTCTTGCGCAACAGGCCTTGACCCTGACTGCGGTCACCGCACAACGACCTCTACTCCTCGACCTCACCTCCTCAGCCTTGCCAGTCTCTGGTGCAGCGATGTCTTCCTCAGCAAGCCGAGCTGCTGTCAGCACTCCCGTCAGATCGACGCCGCAAAAGTCCACCCCCATCGTCGACAGTCCTGGCACATGGAGACATCCACGTCTGAACGAAATCACAAGACGGCGGAACGCAACGACCTTTTCCGAAAAGAACGTCAAAAGAATAGCTCTGAACGTTGGCTTTCTTCTCAGTCTCTGGCTGTCCCAGATCCTGTCACGTTCATACATTCCTGCACAATGGTACGCCGTCCATTGAACTCACGAGTGCGAACACCGCTAACTAATCAAGCAGGTTTAGTAGCTCCCTGCGGTCATATCTGGGTTGGGCGTACTACCTGGTCCAGCTCATTCCGCTGGTCAACATTGGCATGGCTATGCTGCCTCTGCTCCGATCCGCCGATGATCTATCCGACATCCCCCTGACGCCTGCTCAGCGCCAACTTCTCGGACTGCCGCCCAGTTCTGCGGCAGCCACACCTGATGCTGTTTACAGCACCCCGCCGCGTTACTCGCGGACGCCTTCTCTGGCAGGTTCGCCTGCGAGCAACCGGAGTTTCTCTGGCTCCCCCCTTTCCGGCAGAGGCAGCCCAGCTCTCGGGAGCTCTTTCAATGGAAACGGCTCTTTCAACGGAAATGGACAGTCTTACTCTCCTTCGCCCCTTCACAACAGCCCTTCCAAGTTCTCGGCCAGTCTGAACAGCAACAGGAGATCGTCCTTCGGCTCCTCCACGAACCTGGGAGCGAGCACTGCATCTTCCCTCTTCCCTGATCCGGGAACGCCGAGCCCCTCTACCGGAAAGCGGACCAGCGTAGGACTGAATAATAAGTGGCTTTACGAGAGAGGGAGGAGATCTTCGGGTGGTAACTGGATGCATTAGGCGATGACTGCGCACAATGCCTTCAAGGTCCGAAGGGAATTTGGGAGATGGATGACTGCGGCCAGTGGGATGGATACCTGGCGAAAGGCGTTTGGGTGTTATGTTTCTCATGGGGTGGAGACAAAGGATGACTAGATGCCTTACAATAAAGTCAAAGAAACCCCAGACTGTACATAAATGTTGGCGTGGAACATATAAATCAATCGAGGGACTGAAATTCAAGGGTCCTGTCTCAATCTGGAAGGAAAGACGTGTGTCATTGCGTACCTACTCAGGTGCAGTAGCTCCAGTCTGTTCACATGCCAAGCTCCAGGACAGCCAGTGAACGAGTAGCGAGCCACCAGTCAATGTTGTAAGCATAGTACGGATAAATGCGCAGGAGTTGGGAAACAGCAGCTCAAGTCTAGCTTAGTGGTAACTCGACAATGGCAGTCTGCGGTTTGGTTGTTTCGGCGAAGTACCTTACCTTATGCTAACAAGCTTCAAGCTGTTCGAAGAGGTACCTTAATTTTAGTCCCGATAGGTACGTACCTCGGCATGGAGGTCTGGCACGGAGAATGGGAAACGGGACGGGGACGTGGACTTTCAAGATACGGCGAACTCCCACCCCGCTCTTCTCCTTTCATTGGCCAAACATCAACCCGCGATCCGCTCTTCCGCTATTACGTAGCACTCAGTGCGCCTCTGGGAGTCTGGTCTGGAACATTGCACCGTCGACCTCCCAAGCTTCCTCTTCCCGTCAGAAACATTCGACGGATAGTATGCCCCCTCTGTGACAATATGGGCGCCAGCGATTCGAAGCTTGTCTTCAAGAAAGGCATCTTCAGGCTTTCTGAAGAGCGACACATTCCCGCCGATGATCCCTATTGGACTTCTGTATGTCAGCTCGTGAAGTGTCCTCTTTGCCTGTGATACTGACCCAGCCCGCCCGTGTAGTTTTGGGAGCTTCCTGAATCCTCAGAGGATATTTTCAGCCTCTTCGCCCCCGCCGACATTCGACGCACTCGAGACAAGGCCTTGGAGAATTTAGAAACTCTGATACTGGCATTAACATCACGCTTGTTCATCCTGCGCCACCACCCTTCGTTTCCCGATCCCGAAATCGCTCCCGAACGCGATGCTCTCAATTGTGTCCGCGTCCTGACGCGCATCCTTCCCTTCATCTACGAGGCAGATAATCTTCAATCATGGGAGGAGCGGTTCTTCTGGGGTGCGCGGAGGAAGAGAACGAGGCAATCTGCGATTGCCGCCGAGGTGCTCTTTGACGGGGCCCAGGAAGGCCAGAGACCACCCAAGAACGAAAATGAAGACTTCGAAGATGCCAAAGCCCTCGCCGAAGAGCTCATCGACACCTTGGTCGACTTACTATTCTTCTCCGACCTCACTTTGCCTACGCAGCCTAGTGGGCGGCCGAAAGTGTCATACGCCATCTGGCAGAGTGGTGTAGGCTGCAACACATCAGTGGCGACTACCAAAGAATTCGAGAGCAATCGTAGCGAGATACTCCGCTTGCTGCTTACTATGACTAGCCAGAGCATGTACATGTCGTCAAACATGCTTCCACGGCAGGGAATCCGAGCCCTGACACATATCTGCACTTGCCCCGATAAGCAGGTCGTGCTATCAGTCTTATGCTCGTTGCTCAATACTGTATGTGAAGCAGCTTGTTTTCTTTTGCCTGGCTGTGTACTGACAGACGCAGACCCTCAAGTACAACCCAGCCACCTGGCGTGTACCATACAATACTCTGGTCTTCAAGGACGAGAAGCAGATACTGGTGACATACACACTCCAGCTTTTGCTAGTGTTCCTGCTGTACCCAATTCCCGAGCAAAACGGCACGACCCCCAAGAATTACTACCGCCACTTCCTTGGGAGGCTTCATCGGCCACAAGACTTTCAGTTCATCGTCGATGGCATGACACGGATTCTCAACCAGCCGCTACATGAAAAGAGCTCGTATCTTCCCAGTGGGCAAAGCAATGCCAGATTTGCGCCAGAGGTAATCATGCTCTTCTGGGAAATTACTCAGTGCAACAAGAGATTCAGGTCGTTCATCATCGATACTGAGCGGGTCCATGACTTTGTCGTGCTCACTCTTTTCTACGCTCTAGAGTACAAGAATGACGCGTCCAAGCAAGGCGTTGTGAGAATGTGTGCTTTTCTGCTGCAGACGCTGAGTGTCGAGAAGAACTTTGGCGCCAATCTCAACAGAAGATTCGAAGGTCAGGACAGCCTGCCTTTGATAATCAGGATACCTGGCTTCAGCGGTACTCATGCGGACTTCCTGATACACGTAAGAGAGATGCCACTGCATTTGTGTTGATCTCAGCTAACAAAGATCAGAGCATCTACAATCTTATTACCACGAGCCAAGGCAGACTGACAGCTATATATCCGGCTCTCATGGCTGTCATCAACAACATTGCCCCCTATTTAGAGGGTCTCAGCTCTGCATCTGCCTCAAAGCTCCTGCAACTGTTTTCGTCAATGTCTTCACCTTCGTTCCTGCTCGCGAACGACAGCAATCATGATTTGCTGAGGTCACTATTGGAATCGATCAACTCCATTGTCGAACATAACTACCAAAGTAAGCCTCCATATTCGTTGGAGAATCCAATGCTGGCAATCTCATGACTATTCGGGTCTGTCAAAAAATATCATGCTGACGTCTTGATAGAGAACCCCGAGCTCATCTTCGCAATTCTGCGCAACAAGAAGCGGATAGAAGCATTACGAACTTTCACCCTGGAAAGCGGTCAGGAGGAGATCGAGAGACGAAACCGTCGCCGCAAAGAATCAGCAGCCAACGGTGACGGGCTCGAGCCAAGTTCTGTGAGGAGCTCGGCCGAAAGTATGCGAAGTCCAACCGCATCTCATCCTCGACCCCCGACGTTAAGCGATGTTCCGGAAGAGGACGGTACCTTTGCGATTGGTGATGACGAGGACGATAGCGAGGACGAGGACCACCGCCCAACGCCAGCCCAGTCAACCACGAGCGAAAATCCATCTGTGACATCGTCACAAGCATCAGTGGTGGAAGACGCGGTTCCGACACAACTTCGGGGTATGTCAGAAAAGGCCAGAGGTAAAATGCCTGCCGGCATGAGCAACTTCTCCAGGCAGAACAGCACCACAAGTCTGGGCGGATACTCTGCAAGTGGACAGTCTCAATCCGGTGGCTTTGAGCCTACAGCCAACTGGATTGAAAGTTGGCTGCCAGAGCTGCCTCTTCACACCATCCTTACCGTGATCCAACAAGTGACGGCTCTGTTGCCCAGGCAAGCTCTTGCGGGAGAGTCTGCAACCAGAGAGACACTTTTGAAGATCCAAGAAATCAGGCTGGTGGGAGTCGACCCAACACCACCACGAGTGCACTCCTTCGAGTGGTCGCAGCTCTCATTAGGATGGTACGAGTCCTTGTTGTGGGGCTTTGTTTTCAGCAGCGAGATCCAGGTCTCAAAGGGCACAGTTGGAATCTGGAACGGTACGGCAATCAAGCTATTTAGGGTCCAAGAGACTGCACCTCAAGGGCCAAGTCTGGCATCACCGAGGGGAGCCGTTGATGCTGTTGGGAGCAATATCGTGTCCCGGATCGGTGCTATGAACCTGCGAGGCCCCGGAGGTACACCACCAGCAGCCAGTCAGCGCCCGGGATGATAAAGCGATCTCTCTTACAGATAGGAGGTTTCTCAACATCTTTGTCTGATCTTCGGATGGGGGGGCCGCGGTGACCCCTGGGCGGAGGTAGATCTAGATCACTCGACACCTATAGACGATGCCCAGGAGAAGATGACAAGGCACGATAACAACACTGCTGTAGGCTGAACGGCCGTTACAGAAGCAGCCATATCACAATACCCAATACCGAATGACGATCCTTGCATAGCAAAGGGTTGGTGGAGGAGGAACAGATCGGTGGAAGATGGGACCGAGAACTTAGGAAGGTGCTACTTGCGCCGTGGACCAAGAGGGCGGCGTTAGGACAGGAATCAGATACCGAGATCGCGTCAAGGTGGTGAGCTGTGGCAAACGACGCGTATGTAGGGGTAGCGGGATTGAACAGACACTGGTAGGCGGTAGGAGTTACAATCTATCCAACAATCTTTCACTCGGTGTGTGACTTTTGAAATGCCAACAAGACCGGCAGGAACCGAAGTATCCGTCCCTCAGCTTAACTTACCAGATATTCTGGAGAACATCAGAGCGGCACGGCGGCTGTCATCTTGAAAGATGTGGCTTGACGTGGCGAGAGCGCCATTCCAACGTGCAGGGAATGAGGAATTTAGCATAACCAATGAGGCCGTTATAACGGGCCCTTCGTCCATGAGTGTGTTGGCAGACGGCCCCAAACCTGGCAACTGATGCAACTCTGTACCTGGCACAATCTAGCAAAAAGCGGTGATCATTTCCGAGCTTGTCCAGGGATTCGTACGCACCGCCACAAGCTTGCCCGGCGCGTACCTGTTCTACGTTTCTAGACCCTCCCCCCTCTCCAGATCGCCCATTCAGAGGCCGCCTGGCAAGCAAGGGGTTCAAGTTTAAGCCACAGCGCCACACCTCGAAGGGGAACGACATGGAAGTGCTCTCTTAATCTTTCGGATGCAAAGACGGTGGACATGGCACTTATCAAAGTCCCGGACCATTAGTAGCAATGAGACGATGCAGGATAGGATTCTGTCTCCAGGCTTAAGAGAAGGGTTGTATTAAATAGTTTCGGCTCGCTTAACCTTGTTGATTATTTTCCCCCGTCAAGCCTTATAGCACCCGCTATTTCTGGTTTTGCGACGGATGGGTATTTATCTCAATAAGACCTTTCCCGTGTTCTGTTGCGACTTGTTTACTTTCCGGTGTTTCCGCTCAGCGCTGGGTGAAGGCGGTTTTGATACCTTTACTCGAGTCCCGCCGGTACGCTCACAACACGGATCATGCCAATTGACTCTTACCATGGCCAACACTCACGACTCGGGCGCTGCTGGCCTGGCCGGAGATGAGATCAGTCCTTACCGTATACATGTGAGGGCTCCCGGAGGCTGAAGTGAGAGAAGAGCTGGTTGGTGGGTGTGAGTGTGAGAAGAGTCGAGCTTTGACGGCTAACATGGAGTTTTGTTTGAATGAAAGGTGTCTAGCAGGTATCTCGATCTCACGAAACAAAAACTGGAGCTCACGAGACTTCCTCATGAGCCTTCGGAACCCAACAAGTCTCGGGACTGGTGGGAGCCAAAGTCTCGAATCGAACCGCTCGTTGACTTTTGGTGAGTCCAACTCTAACTCGATCCCGTTCAGGAAATGACTCTATGGAAATGACTTCATAAAGGAAGAGGGTCAGCTCTATTGAAACGGACTCTAATTCATCGTAGGCTTGAAAAGTACGACTGGCGAGAACAAGAAACGGCCTTCAACAACCAACTACCCCAGTTCCGCACAGCCATCACCCCGCCAGGCTCATCATCGCCCATCCGCCTTCACTTTATCCACGTCAGATCCTCTCACAGCAACGCCACCCCTCTCCTCTTGATACCCCCATTCCCCTTCACGAACCTCTCCCTAGGCCACCTCATCCATCCCCTCACCGAACCCTCACCATCATCTCCAGACGGCGAGCAGCAGCACCAGGAACAGAAACAGCCCTTTCACGTCGTCATCCCCTCCCTCCCCGGTCTCGGCTTCAGCGATGCCCTCCCCTCCGACGACGCCTCCGTCATCCCAACAACGACAGACCTCCTCAACACGCTCATGGCACGTCTCTCGTACACGCACTATTTCGTCTCCAACACCGCCTCCGCCGCCTCTAGCCCAGCACAGATCGACTGGAAGCTCGCAGACCATCTCGCTACCCACTACTCCAACAACTGCCTCGGCGCGCACTTCATCAACCCCTCCCTCGCAGCGCCGAAGCTCAAGGAGGCACCCCTCGAGTGGTTAAAATGGACCCTCGCCAAGTTCTTCCACGCGCCCATCCTGGGCTACCAAAGCGAAGACCTCCGTTCCCTCGACGAAGAAGAAACGCAAGCGAGCAAAACGTCAGCCGGGAGGAGCCCGCTTCCTACTTCACTCCAAGTCGGCGCGGGCAGCACCCTCTTGGAACCAAACACGACGTCCTTTGCGCTATGCGACTCCCCCGTGGGCCTCCTCGCCCTCGTTCTCAAAGTCATCCGCGTTCTCGGGGCCAAGAAGGAGTTCTCGGCTGCTGAGATTATCACCTTCACCCAGACAGCCTGGCTTCCCGGTCCAGAGGCGGCGATGCGTCTCTGGGCACGCTGTTTGACGCACCAAGAGACTCCCCCGGTTTCAAAGCCGTCTAAGAAACCCAACGTGGCAATCACAGTCTTTTCAGGAACCGGAGAGCCAGGGGAAGTATCCGGAGGGCGAGTAGCGAACGACCTAGAGTCTCAGACACAAGCCCCGGATGTCGTCTCGCCCCAGCCAGCCTCAAGCCCCTACGTCTGCCCCGCCTGGGCCAACGTCTCCTACAACGCCGTCCACGTGCGCCGCGTACCGGGACGTCCGGGCCTCGTAGCCTGGGACTACCCCGAGCTCATCGGCGACGGCGTCAGGGGCCTGGCCGCGAATTTGCTCTCCGTCGACGCTAGGGTTCGAGACATCGTCGCTCAACAGCAGAGACCGGAAACGGTGCCTCTGCAGGGTGTCGTTGTGCAATTCGACTCGACCGCGTCCACGTCCGCGCCGGGTCCGGGACAAGGGGGTGCGGCGACGGCGGCGGGGATGGCACCGGTCCCGGTGCCACCTTCCACTCCGCAGGTCGAGGCGACCAAGTGGTGGCTAAGCCAGATCCGCGAGGCGTCTGAGACGCCCAAGAAGTCGTTGCAGTTGGATGACGGTGATGCGGGGATGCTGCTTTCGCCGCCGGATGCTGATTTTGACGGGGCGAGTCCGGATACCATTGTCGTTACTCCTCCCGTGAACATACGGTAGTTGTGTTCATTGTTCAGTCTCGAGGAGAGTAGGCGATTGGTTTTTAATGTTTGCTTTGTATAACGTTTACTTTGTATGATGATACCATGATGCCGATGCATACGACACAGGGCATGTTTTGAGAAAATAGCTAGTAATTACGTTCGCTCACATCAGACATGCTTTAAACGTACGTTTGTGAAAACCGCAAGCTGTATTGATTATAGTCCGGGCAGAGATGATCAAAATTTGATGGACTAAATCATGTGGGTGTACGGCGCGTCCCTGGTCGATGGGTTACTTCTTGCATATAAGTCGTCACCGACCTTGGGGAGGGGATTTGAGAGGAGTGAGAATAATTTGACTGTGCAGTCCGACTAAATTGACTGTGTGCCACTGCCAGCCAGGCCTACCACCACTATCTCCACTACCACTACAATACTACTTATAATATTACCGGTAAGGAAGATCGAGGAAATCGAGGCTAAAACTAGCTAGAAAAGTCTAGTCAATTATCGATAGGAATATTTACTTAGAGCGCCCTTTAGAATTATTAATTACGACGTACATTAATTATATAAGCATCCTTCTAAGTGGTAATGGGGGCGCATAGATGTGGTAGACGTGGTAGGCCTGGCTAGCAGTGGCACACAGTCAATTTAGCCCGATTACACAGTCAAATTATACCCGCTCTTTGAGAGATCTCGAATCCAGCCCAAAGCTCACCTGCCTCACTCCAAGGGTGAGGCTTTATAGCATGGACCTGAGCTCAACGGTCGGGACACTGGCTAGCCGTCAAACGAATAGGAACTGTCCCTCAGACTGCTCCTTTTCCTGAAATGCGGATTCAAAGACATGTGTCCTCGGCCGAGCGCTGCTTGTTGGTGAGTGCATGTACGTAGTAGGTGAGGAATTCAATTCAGCTGACCACCAAAGAGGAAGTCAAGTTCCCATAGACAGCTCAACTGCATGGACTCATAAAAAAAGTGCTTGGGCACAGCGGAATCAAGAGAATTGAATCACCTTCGGAGACGGTGTGGAGACGAGAAACGACTTGATATTATCGCCCAAGATACCTTCCTACGCTATGCATCCTTGAACCACCCAAACCCATATACCCAAACGCCCAGAGCTTGTCTTCATTATTCCTCATCACTACTCTCCATCACGAAACCTCCCCTCGTGCGCTGCCGCGAGCGCGCTGTAGGCACCGGCGCATCTTCGTCATCAGAATCGGCATCTGCCTTCTCTGTAGCCTCCACCCTTTCTTCAGCAGCTTGTGCCTCAGGAGTTATGCGTCTCCGTTTCCTAGAACCCTTCTCCTGAGAAGAAGACGGACTAGAACTCAATGGCGTAGCCTTGTCTCCATTCTGCTCGCCATCGCTTGCGGCATCCATATCTACATCGGCACTAAGCCGAGTAGACGGGGTGCCCTTCGTCACAGCGAGTACATCATCGTCATTGTCGTCGCTATCATCGAGCAGCACCGCTGCTGGTCTCTTGGTCGGTTCCGATACCGCAGCCTTCTCTATGAGACGAGACAAGCGCAAGCGCTGTGCCTCTTCTCGTTGGAAGAACTCGCGGTCATATTCCTCGTCCGTATCGTCATCGCTAGCGTGGACGTACGCTTCGCTCTTGACCTTTCTCGCCTTCTCTCTCTCGCGATCTCTGCGCTTCTGAGCCTTTTCTTCCAACTCAGAGTCGTTCGGCGCCTCCTCGTCTTCGCTGTCCTTTCCGCGCCGCCTCCGCTTCGTCTTCTTGGGAGCAGGCCCGTCAATGGCTTTCCGGACGGTTGGCCCCAGGGGTTCAAAGAGGAAGCCGTCGTCAATATCATCATCGTCATCGTCGTACTCGGCTCTCTTTCGTACCACTTTCTTGCGCCGGAGCTGGTCCTCTGCGCTGGCACCATCAAAGGAGGGCGGGTCAAACTCGGCATCATTGATGTGCCTGGCATATGTACGAAGGATACCTGCATCAAGATATGGTGGCAGGATCCATACGGACTGGGGCGTCTCCTCGATAGTCGGTGCTAGCCTCTCAAATCCTACCAGCTTCATGAGTAGGCGCAGGTGAGAATTCTTGAATATGGCAGTCTTGCGGGCATCATTGTCCGGCCGTACAGCTGGTACATGTTAGACATATCAATCAGTGTGATTGCTTTAAGGGGAACTTACTGAAGGGGTGTCTATCGGTTGGTTGTGCGTCCTCGTCGGTGCCCTCGACCGATGGTATGAGGAAATCCGCCGCCTCCCAGGCAGCACGCTCCTTTTCCGCGGTATCAAGAACTTTCTTGACCCACGAGATATGATCTTGTTGATTTTTATCAAGCAGAGCGCCAACAACAGTGGCGATTTGCCGGTCGAGATCCATAATATGCCTAAACTCGAGTTCTGCAGCGGGCCGAGCTGTCGATGTCGAGACGGTTTGTTTCTCGTAGCCAAATTCCAGGTAAAAAGCGGTGGCACTGATTTTGGAGAATAGCATCTCGATTATGAGTTCGGGCCGCTGCTCAATCTTGCGCGTGCACTTCCTGAGGATTTGCTTGGTCAATTCTTCCCACTCCCTGTACATGGGGGAGTTCTTGTCGAGCGGTTCCGGTCCCTTGATCATATTGTAAAAGAGGTGCACAATATCAACACGGAAAAGCATCACGCTCATCTCTTGTTTGAAGGCTATGCGGTAGAAGTAGCGATGAGCACGCTTCAGCTGAGAGTCATCGAGATCCTTGTAGAACTTGGTAAAGGCGACAAAAGTATCGACCACACCTTGGGGAGCGAAGCGCGATGTGAACCGATGGAAGTCGAACTTGCGTTCTTTGGACGTCTTTTCGGCGTTTGCCTCATCGTTGGCAGACTCGTCATTCTCCTCGTTAACGGTATCGATGCCTGCTTCTTTTTCGGCTTTCTTCTTTCGCCGAGTCCGTTTACGAGACCGAACTTGCATGTCGACGTTTTGTTTTGAGTAGGCCTCCAAGATTCGCAAGAAGTGATGCACCAGCTCTGTGGCGGTGTCGAGATACTCGAAGCCTTGCTCCTTGTATTGTCTGACGACATTGGCAATCAAATCATGCGTGGAGTCTTCGTAGAAGAGACGACTCAGTGTGTTCTCCGCAATCTCCTCGTCATCTTCGTTTCCTGACTCCGTCATCTCCTGGACAGTAAGTAGAATCTGCGTGAAACAACGCATCGCAGCCGTCAGGGTGGGCCAATCCTTCTGGTCCCAAGAGTCGTGCATGGTCTTTGTGAGAGTGATGAACATCGCCTGGTCAAGCACACCGGCCACGAGATTGAAGCTGCCGACTTCTTCGGGGGCTCCTGGTTTCTTCGAGTCTCGTTTTGACTTTCTACGAGTTCGCTCCGCCTCCAGAAACCAGGCGACAAGGTACATGTACTGTCGACGATGGTAAGACAGAACATGGGGCGCTTCCCGGTCCAAGGACTTGCGAACATGCACGAATAAAGGGTTGAAACCAGCATCGAGGAAGTCTTCGACAAAGCTCCGGAGCTGGTCATTAGCCCTTGTATTGAGCTTGACTGGGGCACCGAGGTCCTTGGATTCCAGCTCTTCTTTCTTCGCGCGTCGTGGAGGTTTGAACGTCTTGGACTCATCCAATTTCTTTTGCCGCGTAGCGCTGTCTGCGAGCGCATCCTGTCCAGTGATTGTTGATACTTTGCCATCTTCGCGCTGCATCCACACCATGGTGCCAAAACGGTTGTGACGGGTAGGGGCCTTGCGGTTGAATGCACTGCGCATCGCGCTCTCCTTTTTCATCATTGTGGAGAGTTCTTGGGCCTTCGTCTGGTGCAATTGCTGTTCGTTCATGAATAGCTTCTTGACCTCGACCTGTTTGACCAGGTGGTATATGACTTCCATGAGAATTACGTCCTCGGTACGGAAGTCTTCGCCCATGTTCGAAGCAATCATTAGCAACACCGCGAAGATGTCCTGAAACGAGAATGCGTCTATCGTCGTGGAGCGGGATATCTGTGTCTCGTCGCCATCATATTGGACACCCGCAGGAGGGGTAATCATGGCCACGTTGCGGAGGAAGAAAAGAACGAGCTTGATAATGCCCTGGTCGCGGGCTGATCGTTCGCCAATGGAAATTGCCATCGATGGCAGAGCTGCTCGGATGGCTGTGTTGAGGACCTGGGCACCGTCAAAGTTGATGATGGCCCGCTTGTATCCCACTTGCGCCAGCTCGAGAACAGGCATGTGGCGATGGTGATTGACCGTCATTCGTTCGGCATCTCTTTCCATTGGCCACGTAAGAGGCACCATAATCTCAAAGCAAGCCAGAGCGATGCGGGCTTTGAATGTGTTGTTGGTATCGTTCTCGGGCCAGCTCGCGAGGATCTGGAGAAGGTCGCCTTCCACGATGTTGGAGTCTGCAATGCAGCGGGCGACATCCATGCGGTTCGTCTTTTCGTCGTAGTGTCGAATCCATTTCTTCAGATCGCGGAGGACTGAAACGGCGTCGTCACCGAGTCTGTATCGTCCATCGTCGTCGGCGCTTGTGCCGCCGAGCTATACTCATGTTAGATCCAATGAACAACGGTTTTCGGGAGGATCACTCGGCTGGTCCAAAACGTACCGCGGACACGAGACTGTTGATGTGCGCTCGAACTTCAGGGTGGACAACTTCCGTTGACCCGTCCGGCAACTCCATCTTGTCGGTTTCGGCGGGTTACAATACAGTGGCAGATTGCAATTGAGTCTTGGAGATGTCTCCGTCTACACACCAAGAGTGACGATGATTGAAAAGGCTTGGAGGGACCGGCCTGCCCCGGTTCACCTAGCGACGCGTCTGACGCGATGCACCGCGTCCTAGCAGAAAGTTGAGTTAATTGGTCCCACCTTTGAGCTTATCGATAGCAGAAGATTAGATAAGACCCAAGTGTGGCGCCCGGTCCGTACCTGCCTTAGCTCTGGACCAAAGCCACCTTGGGGGCTTGATAGGGGCCGCGGTTAACCTCGGGTCATGGACATCATCACGGCCTTGGACAAGAAACGATATCTGGCCACGGACTTCCGTTCTGTACTTCAATCTTAACAGCACTTAAAGCAGACTCGTGGATTACCCTTTCCCTCTTCACTGATTGTAACCCGCTCACTTGTCCCTCGCGAACTCTCATCCAATCCCCCACGCGGCCATCGCCGAGCTTACTCGAACATCACGGAGATCGTAACCCCTGCACACTGACGTCTCGCTCACCTCGATAACTATGGCGACTTCAATTGCTCGCGTACGGGCGGTGGCCAAGCTTCCCGGACAGCTTCGAACATTCGGCTCTACTCCTAGAGTTGCTTCTGCAACGGGAGGAGTAAAGCGATTGGGTGTCATCGGTGCTGGACAGATGGTGAGTGAGCTCGCGAATTAGCATGTGAATATGCGGCATCGAAAAACTGACCGGCTCAATTCTAGGGACTCGGCATCGCCCTTGTGGCTGCTCAGAGAGCCCAAGTCCCAGTAACGCTTGTCGATGCAAACAAGGCGGCCCTGGACAAGGGCATTGCATTCGCGGGTGAGCATTCACCAATTTCTTGCTGATGAAGCTGGCGGGCTAACAACTCATCAGAAAAGCTTCTCGCAAAGGACGTTTCCAAGTCCAGAATCACACAGGAGCAGGCCGACAAGGCCCGGTCCCTCCTATCGCCAGCCTCTTCTATTGACGAGCTGTCAGATGTGGACTTTGTCATTGAGGCCGTTCCTGAAATCCCCAAGCTCAAGTTTGACATCTTTTCCAAGCTGGCTGAGGTTTGCCCGAAGCATGCCATCTTGGCCACAAACACTTCATCCATCTCCATCACCCGTATCGCGGCGTCCACCACACAGGACCCGACAGACACCTCCGCGAGCTCCCGCGTCGTCTCCACCCACTTCATGAACCCCGTCCCGATCCAGAAGGGCGTCGAAATCATCAGCGGTCTGCAGACCAGCCAGGAGACGCTGGACAAGGCCGTCGCGTTCTGCAAGGCCATGGGCAAAGTCACCTCCGTCTCCGCCGACTCTCCCGGGTTCCTCGCGAACCGTATCCTCATGCCCTACATCAACGAAGCCGTCATCTGCTTGGAGACCGGCGTTGGCGACAAGGAGTCAATCGATGCCATTATGAAGAATGGCACCAATGTCCCCATGGGCCCGCTACAGCTTGCTGACTTTATTGGCCTGGACACCTGCCTCGCCATCATGAAGGTTCTTCACGAGGAGACTGGTGACTCAAAGTACCGGCCGAGTGTGTTGCTTCGCAAGATGGTCGATGCTGGTTGGATGGGGAAGAAGAGCGGAAAGGGATTCTATGACTACTAAAGCAGAGATATGATGTTGGAGATGATGAGCAAATTGGACTAATACGTCAGACCATCTAATATGAAAAGTGGCAGATAGTTCTTAGTAGTAAGCTCAAGAATTGGAAACATCGCAACGCGTAAGACTTGTGTCATCATGAAGTCGTTGATATCATTCACGTTCGCGTGTGTTGATTCACGGAATATGTTGAAGCAGTTCAGTACATGTTCTGACTTAGTAGACTTCTTTGAAGTCACTATCTCATACAGCTATGCATGTGGGAATACAGATAATGGGCATGTAAGCCCCAGGTGGCAGAATACCTGTATGGTCGAGCACCTAAGTGGGATATGCAAATATAGTTTGACGACTTCAGGATGCGGCTGGTGGTGCGGCCCAACGGGCCAACAGGGTGCCTTTTCCAGCAAACGCTCTGCACGAATGAAGGATCCCAATACATGATTAACTTGCAGAGATACGTCCATGCTAGAATACACCACTAAAGGGCAATTACATAGAGATATTCGCAAAAGGTGGGGTTTTCCAAGTACTGATGTACCTAGAATAAACCGAACAACAGAGACGTATGTGCTAGTGTACGCTAAAAGGTGATTCCGTAAAGATGTTTTTGCAAAGGGCAAGCTTTTGAAAGCACCTGCGGTCACCTTGGAATAAAGCAAACAACAAATGTATGCGCCAGATGATCCCAAGGCGCTTTCAGTTGTACATGACACTGGCGTTGTAAGACCCAAGTATCTTTGGAGAATCGTACAAAACACTTCCAAATACCTTCATGGTCCGAAAGAATGAACACCCTTGGGCATCCACTTCGCTCTATGTAGCTCTCTCCCAAGCGCGGATAGAATCCATTCTGAACTCATTCAATAGGGAGCCAAGCGTCAACTACAACAACAAATGCAAAAGTCTCAGGTGCGGAACAATTCAAAATAGGGGCTACGGCTGCTTCCCCGACTTCTCACCCTGAGAGTAGTCAATGCTGGGCTCCAGGAGGGGACGGGATGCCAGGTCATAGGACCCCTTTACAGCCCAGTTTCGTCCATCGTTTGTTTTAGAAACACACAAAACACGTGGAAATCATGGAAACATTTTGAGTCGATGGTCAGCTAGCTATAACTACGGCATGTGAAAGAAACCAAGTCTCGGGTTGACAGCCTCCATCCTTTACACTCGAAAAGGGGTAAGGCGGGGGCCTGAAAGTTTCTCGCACGAGATACATCTCCATGAATCGTGTTGAACGAACAATCTACGTACACTTTAACGAATGTTTGGAGGTACTGCGTTTCCTTGAAGCTTAGATGCCCAGCTCCGAGCTATCAACTTGCGACATCTTGCCGAGTAGACCAAGGTGAGAAGACAGCTTAGGATTCCTAACCCATGATCATTCATCACAGAACAATAGCTCTCGGCATAGTAATGCTCCCACCGGTCGAGCTTCAGGAAAAAAGGCTACCTAGATGACATCTGTATGGCAGTCACGCAAGGTTCAGGAGCAAAAATATGCAAAGGGGGGTATGAAGCAATACCGAGAGCGCGACATTCCTGCAAAACTCTTACAAAGTTCGGATGAGGACCCCATGGCTTCTCCAAGATGGCCAAAACTATCAACTTGAAGTCCTCCGTTCTACAGTCGTAGTTTCTGAAGTAAAGTGACATACGACGATGTCGTCCCGTCATGCCTACCCTCCCCCAGGAACACATAAAAAAATAAAAATAAATAAATAAAATAAAATAAAAAAAAAGAATTTTCATCCGAACGAAGCTCGGTCCAGAACTGATCTACACGTAACTTGGGACGGCAGTTCACTGCTCACAGACGCCCGCAACGTTTCTTCGCCACTTGGGCCCCATATATGTCGGACTGAGAGTTTCATGATCTACAGCGTGCCGTGCGTGCCTGACGAAGAGAGAGGAATCTTGGTAAGAGGTAAACAAACTCCACGGGAAAACATGATGCTAGTTTCTCCGGCGACACCAGACCGATATCTACACATCTGATGGTGGCGTGAAAGAGAGGGGGAAAATCCGAGCACAAGGTAGCCCAGCCCTGTTTCAACGGGCCTATTTGTTCCCACGCATGACGAGGTTGAACCTGTTTAACGTGGAAATCCGAACGTGCCTGTTCCGACCGAGCCCACGTAACCCCCTTCGCATCTATCCGCCCATCCCCCGTCTCCCGTCCTGAACCCAGGCCAAGAAGAAAGGCCCTCCTCGCGGGGTCGTATTTCGAACGGGAGGAAGAAGGCAGTGCAGTTTGGAAAAGGCTTCCCGAGAAGGGACCAATATATCGGACACTCGGGACTGCGGGAGGGCGAAACGGCGTGGGTCGCTTCCTCCGAGGGCTGGGCCCCCATCCCGAACACGCGTAGTGGCCAACGCCCGCCACCGGAGGAGATGTGTAGTCCGAACCGAACAGCTTCGCCGGTGCGCGGGAAGGGATTCTCCCCCCGTTTGGGGGTGGGAGCCCTGGAGCCATGCCGACGGGAGTGGTAAGGACAAAACTACCAATGAAGAGAAGGGCCGCGGCAAAACTTCAAGAGAGGTGACGAGTTTGACAACCCCCTCCTTTCTCTTGGTATAATGCCGTCTTCGAGCCTCAAGCGACGGCTGATCAGGCGATGAGAAGCTAGAGCTAGGTTACCTACCATGACCGACCGGATCCTGCGCTGTCCGACCGTCTCCGACGGCAGAGATCAAAAATCCTCCGTCCCCTCCCCTCCTTGCCCATGTTATCAGATTCAACGATCATTGAAGGGAGATTTACCGGCCGACCATCGATCGCTAACCTCCCCTTCCCTGCCTGGAACGAGCCTCCTCCCGATGACGAGCAAGCCGTTTGTCACCATCCCCGAGTCTCCCGCGGCGGCCTCTGCAAACATGCACATACACACATACCTACAGCAAGCCGACCCCCCTTCGTTGGACCTTGGAAAGACTTCCTTTTTCGGTAATGGTCATGATATGAAACACGGCGGTGCGGGGGAGCAGGACAAAAGAATAGGCTGCTCCAGATGGACGGGAAGACGCGTAACGTCTACAATACTACGTAGGGAGGGATTCGGACCATGTGTGACGCGAAGGCTGTTTGGCAGCATGTAAATGATTTTGAACTCCGCACGCGGCACAGCTTTTTTTTTTCTTCTTTCCTTTGCGAACAATGAAATCGAGACCCGAGGTTGGTTGCGAGGTGACTCTCTCTCTGTAGTGTATACTTCGGGTTCTAGGTTTGAAGTTCCCATGCCCTCACCCGGAGAAACCTGTGATTTGTCGTTGGCTGCTGGACTAGGTTGTGGTGTCAGCAAGGAGTTTGCTATCACGCGCCAAGAGGCGGTTGGTGAGAAGCTGCCACCAACATTGCTTTA